TCTCCTGCCCCTCTCCTCTCATGCAAACCAATCAACTGTAACCTGAGCTGGGGGAGAATGATGCTGCTTGATGAGTATCACTGGCAGTAAACCAGCACTGCAAATGACATATAGACACATAAAAAATGCACAGATGCACAAACTTCTCTAGGAGAAAGCGAGGATCAGGATGAGACTCAGACTGGGTCGGTGTTATTAGACAGGAGACTAAGAGCCATCAGGTCACTTAGCAAAGTAAACGTCCCTGATAAACTATAATCTGCACCAATACTCTGACATTTTTCCATCTGAACCACCATGATTGTTGCTTTTCACAGCAAAATTCATAGATGTGCTAGTAAATGCATTGCTCTTAGAGCTCAAACTTATTGTGTGCGTCTGTGTGCCTGTGCTGTGAGACCACAGTCTCTGCAAACTGTGGGGGCAAACAACCACAGGCTGCGCACACTGAAACCCACAGACTCTATCTCACCATCCCTATCTTTGTTTGCTCTCCCACCTACTGAGCACCTAGCAGGGCCACAGACTCCAATGCCTCCATCCATCTACCAGCTCCCTTCCTCCTCCACCAGCATCCATTCATCCATCCATCTTTCCCCTTCACATGAACTCATCATGACCAATTTTTCATCTGTCAGGCACTCAGCAGCTGCACTTACTGTTCAACTGCAACAATTTCCAAGAGGAGACAACCTGATAATACATAGTTTAGAATCATACACTTTATTAATCTTTACAGAATCCAAGACTCTGGTAAAAACGATTATCCCACTTGATACAGATTGCCCTTACCTCCCACCCTCCTCAAGAGCAAAACCTCCAGCCCATGCCTATGTTCCTTTAATGCTAGTCCAGCTCCTTCCCGCTCCTCCCATCTCCAAACCTCAGACCACAGGGCTTTAATAGGAGGGTTAAGAGGTAATGCCTATCACACTGCCATCATTTAATATCTAAGCAATGCTGACAGAGAGGAAGGTTATGAACCCAAACCAGAAACCCACCAGCAAACCTTTCCGTCTCCTCCTTCTTACTCTCCTGCTATTATTTGTTCATTCAGCCTCCCTCTCTCTGACAATTGCTCTCTCTCCTGTTATGCTACCTCCATTTCTTCCTCTCTTACACACTCTCCTGTCTACAGACCTTGTTTATTACATTTCGACACTTCTTTAATTCACAGGAAAACAATGTGGATGGAATAAAAGGCCTTGAAAACAAAGAATGGAGAGAAAAAAGAGAATAGTGGAAAAAAAAATAAAGCGCAGAAGGAAACTCCAGACACTGTAATTTAGATTGTGCTGATGGCAAAGTAGGGATATAAAGAACATGAGATTTATAATGTTAAGTTTGGCACCCATTCACCCTTTCCACTCTGTTTCTCAGTTGTCTGAGGACTCTACAGAGATCCATATTCAACCAGTGATAAATAAGAGCTATTGAGACCAATTAGGGGTTTTAGAGAATTACAAGCCAGGTGGAGGAGAAAATAAGACTGTCACTCATGAAGAACAAGAAAAGAATTGGAAAAAGAAAGAGACACAGTGGGAGCATGGTTAAATGTGTGTGTGATGGAATATTTGTGTTTGTATATGTCACCACTGTTTGTCCCTGATGTTCACACGAGAGGTTTTGATTGTGTGTGATCCTGCAAGCCACAGTTGACGTAAATGAAAATTTCCTTTCAGCCATAAGAGTTGAGTTTGCTGTCGTTAGTGATACATCACATGAAACCACAAACATATGAAATGCATGATCTGTCTGTCCAGAGTATTAAATCGAGTTTTCACAGTGGGCACCCCACTGAGATTTCATCTGTCTGTGGCGTTTCTGACAACAGAAGAGAGCACACTGAGAAAGTCCCATGGAAAATGTATTGATTCTATTTGATGACAGTTTATTATCATCAGCATAAGTCATTATGAGTGTATGTAGTGTTTTCTGAAACATATTGGGAGGCTCAATTTGTCTAAATGCTATTTTACCAGGGCTCCCTTGTAAAAGAGGTTCTTAACCTCAACAAGATTTTTCTGCTTTACTTAATTAATTAATTAAGGTGTTATAGGCTTGCAAGTTTGTATGTTGCTCCTTTACAAAAGAGTATGGTCAGTTTGGATTCACAGTACATCTAGTAGAACAGATCTCAGTGACTACAGAGTCTCACGGCAAAACAATGTGTCAAAAAATGTTCACAGGAACCTCTCGAAAACTCCCGCTCCATCATTCACCACCATCCCAAAGGATCAGTATATCCCCAACTCACCTGATTCACCAAAAACCACTAAATCTTCCAGCTAACAGTTTATTTCATTATATTGTGAAAAGAGTAAAGCTTTTCAGTGGAGTATTGTTTTACATTTATTGGTCTAATTCACCCTTTGATCGCCTAAAACACCTAAAACTTCAATAATACACAAGAGAAAACACAAGAATTGCATATATAGGATGTACTTTTTCATCAAGAAAAGGTTAGAGTAGCTTCCAAGGCCTTCTGCCTCATGGAAACATTATAAGATAGAAGTGAAAGGTTTTAGGACCCAGCGCTGGAATTCTTTATCCTAGCGTGTGCACACATACAAATACAGTATATCAATATGGTGTATTCATGCATGCACATGTGATCTATAAGCTCAAGAATGTTGACAATAATGATTTCAGACACATGCAACAGCAGGCTTGTGCCTGAGAAACACACAACCTACCTCTAGCTTCCCTTGAAGGAAGCCCAGTATAAACAGCTATAAAGTTTAGGTGGTTCAACCTTCAGCCTAAGCTGACAAAGACTCTCTGGGGATAAGACAAACAGAAAGCCTAAATGAAAAGAAAGAGCACAGTGGAAGAAAATGAGAAAGGGTAGATACCGATGGGACTGAAAGAAAGAAAGAGCGAGAGAGCTCATGTGTAAGGATGTGAGCTGACAAGGAGAGAGAAAAAGGGCAAGTGGGAGGCTTGTCTGCATCAGTATGACCTGCTCGCACACTCTGAATACTCTGGAAAATCTCCATATTCCCAAATACAAATTCCTCATCTGTCAAGCAAAATATTTACTCATGCACACACACACAGAGACACATGCACACACATCTGATGCATACTTTTTTCACCTCTGGACAGGAGCGCACAGTGGCACTGTGTCACCTGGCACAGGACTTAAACCATCAACCTGGACAAAAGTTCTGGCCGTGTTTTCAAGTGGATCACATAACACATCAAAAAAAAAAAAGACAAAAATGAGGAGACAGGGGATGATGGAGAGAGAGTCTGAGAGAGATGACAGAGTTGAGGAAAGTGGGCTCATTGGATCTGGAGTTGGAAAAACAAGAAAGGTGTACTCACAGTCGTCCTAGTTTGGGGTTGGACTGGAAGAGAAGTTCTGGGAGAAACTGGAGTTTGTTTCTGTTCAGGCGACTGCAGGGAGACAAAGAAAAGAAAATAGTTTTTAAGTTATTGGAGCTCGATACTGTAAACCTCAGCATGAACAGAACAGGCAAAAACAGATGAATAAATCACTGGGATCCATGGCTTTGTGTTGACTGAACCATCAGCAACCAGCCGACAGCCATCGTATTAAAGGTCAGCGAGTTCGTGGTTCAAAGGTCAAACTCATGGGAAAGATTGTCTGGTTCCTGTGATCATGACCTACAGGTTATCGTGCTATGTGGTGTGTGTGCATGCGTAGGAGTTATAGGTTATCATGCTGTAAGCTCTCAAAAGCCAGTTATCACTATGGTCCCAGCATGTGCTTTGACCTGAAAATGAGAAGAGGAAAAGGTTTGACCTGTTGGCGACTCCCAGTCTCTCTGCAAAGTTGAAGATAATTCACTTAAAATTAGTTTTTGTAGTATATCTTCAATAAATTTTGGCAAAAGTCTTAACCTGATCTGTCACGTTACACAAAGAAGAAGACTGCACTGTCAACTAAGGGATTATAAAAGAGCAAAGTGCAATACTGATGGCAAAGAACAGCTGACAGGACAAAAATTCACAAAATGTAAGAGCTTGCCCAGTAAGTCATACACAATTTACATTGTCATTAATAAAACTGATAGACTATCCATCCTGTATTAGCACTAATTTTGGTCAAGATAAACAAATGTGAAAGGCTTTGGGGTCTTAAATCCAGGCTTATCAAGAACTAGTGTCAGGTGCATGCAGCAACATAAACATTCCCATATCATAGTAAGAAAATGGATATACTGGTACACTGAACCAAAAAATTTAATAAATTAGAACCATAAGATTTATTAAATGTACACAAAGTAACGGTCACAGAACCTACATCAGAATTATTTATGAACCATGTAATTCTAAAGTAAGATAACAAGCACACTCAGGAGAAAGGTGGCAAACTAGTTGGGTGTGGTCACGTGACCTACTATACAAGGGTACCACAATAAATAGGCCTGTCTATGTATCTGTGTATGTATTGCACCTATGACAATTTATTTCAAATTCTTAAGAGTAGATGATAACAAAAGCAATTTAAAGACAACTATGAATTCTGAAGCCTATCCAATTGTTTTTGTGCAAAATCACCACCTCTGTGTGGTTTTGTGAGCTTGGTAACATTTCGGAGGTGTCAAAGAACTGTTCTGGGCATTTCCTAGGATACGGGTGTCTTTCCCCTCAACTAATTTGAGATTAAAACCTTCTCATGTCCAGTGCCTTCTTATGTTTACTGTACATGTAAAACACAATTTTTAAGGATGAATCAAGCATAAAATGAAGATATGGAAATTATTTCCAAAGGAATGGAACACAAAAGAAGACGAAGTGAGTGAAAATATGGTGTCGAGCAAAAGAAATACAGAGAAAGTAAGAGATGAAGTGTGTAAGGCTGAAAGATATTTCTGCTTGTGTGTGTGTGTGTGTGTGTGTTGAAGGAGGGTGGGGCTGGCGGCAGAAGAGATACATGTAGACAGTGTGAGCAGAGGGAGTGAAAGTGTTATCAAGCTACCAAAGCATTTGGCTGAGAAACAAGGCGTGGAAGGGAAAAAGAAAAGAAAAGGAGGGTGGAGGGTCACAGGGTCACCGAGCAGAATCTGTGCTAGAGAAGACACAGACACCAACCTTTTAACCCCTGTGATAATGATAATAAGGCCCTGACTTTCACTCTTGTGTGCACCAATGGAAAGAGAGCTGCAGTCCAGAAAGAGATACCCACCATTTGCAATATTGACCACTGCTCCTAGAAAAATTACTGCTGGTACAAAAGGAAATCACACGACCAGCTACTATTACAGTTATGAGTCATTTTAAGATGTTTGTTCACAAAACAGTAATGGTTTTTATGAGAAGAACCCTTTGTGTGTTTTCAAATAATAATGACATGTTTCTTCTACTTGGAAACCTTAAATGTTACAGTCCACAGACTATGGGCACTAGATTTTTAAAGATTGGAAAATGATGCCTATTAAATGGAATTACAGTAAAGTCTAGCAGTTATGAAGACCAGAGGGAATTGATGTCACTGGGTTACCACCTCAAAATCCAGAGTTTCATATATATTCTTCACAATAAAAACTATTTAAAAAAAAAAAAATCACACAAAAATGTCTAATTACTTATTAATTATTACCTTATACAGCAAAAAAATTACATTTTGCTATTTCAGATCATCCCTGAGCTGTTTTTGTTTCTTTTAAATTACCTAATTAAGTGAAATACCCAAAGACATGACTTTGCAATTCATGTGTTGACATAAACAGATGCCCTTGTCTGAGGAGATGAGTTCCATGTTGTTCACATTGTTACTCCATAAGTCACACAAATTCAGCACCAGGACCTCTCTCACCCCTAACCCCTCACCCTGACAGACACACCATCAGAAACCAGCCAACACAGTATTTTAAAAAAGCATTTCACTCATTTCAATAGAATAAAAATGTTTATTTTAATGCTGAGAAGGCTCCCTCCTGTTTTTGCTCCCTGGGTGTAGGTAAAGTACAATGTGCTGTGTCTTCATTTTGACAAACAAGTTTAGACTACACAAGACTATGTTTTCAAATAACTTAGACAAATGAATGCCACCTCTTGAGAACTATTTTGCCCCCTAACCTCGCCAACCCCCTCACCTCTAACCTCTGACCCTTTCCTGACACACCACATTAAAGAGCCTTTCAACATTAAAGCAGCACATCAGCTCACATTTTTACTGTTGGATGTGTGATCTCCATTTAGAGACAAGATACACATGCTGCTGCCACTCAGTGTCTCTCAAGTTGTAGAGAAGCTTGCCATAACCTGAACTGAATTAACTGATGTTGTCAGTCTGTCACTCTACTGTATTTCTCCAACTATGCTACCTTCCAACTGCCAGAAAGATTCTTACTTACAAAATCTCTAGATCAATGTAGTGTCCAGTGGAAAGGAAAGGGTCTTAGTGAGCCGCTTTGTGCATTAACGCAGCAGTGAGTTACTGCAGATGTCATTATGAGAGAGAGAAATTACACTTTGGAAGGATGGCAACAAATGAGAGTGTTTGTTGTGGTTAGATAACTAATGAAATGATACCCAAGCCATACTCATACCCAAGCCCAACAATGTGAATTCAACATTACTAAGATAGCCAAGTCCTAAGTGTATAGATGCTGCTCTTATCAGTGGAAGATCTCCAATATGGCAACCAGAAGGTGTGTTCCATTAACCTGAAAGCTTCCTATTAAAACACTGAAAAGCATTTCCAGGATACAACATCTGACAAAACAAAGTGTGTTACTCTGCATTCTTGTCTCATGCTACAGAATTATAAACCCTTGTACAATAGAAGCATGGAAGAATGTTTTCCTGCAGAGCTGTCTGCCTGTCATCCCTCCAACAATGAGTCATAAACATGCAGATGTGTGTGTGGGAAGTGCTGTGGTGTGCACTGACACCTTGATTCTGTTGACTCGAGCCTAGGTGTGACCTGACAGACACACACACGTGGAACAAGTTGAAAAATTCCAAGCTGGTGTGTGAAGTGGACGGACTTGGGGATCATCCAGGTATATAGTTTACACAGTGGACAGGCAGAAACAGGAAGTCAAAGGTGTGTGCAGGAAGACAATATGAATGTGTGTTTGCAGGTGGGCATATTTTGTGATATGTATTGTATGTGTGTGCTTTTTTGAAACCCAGTGGGGAATTTACATGCTTAAAATGCTTCAAGATGTTTAGCTTGCACTGCCTCTGTTTCTCCCTCACACACACACACAACCAGAGGTGGAAAGTAACTAAGCACATCTACTCCAGTACTGGTTGTATTGTACTTTCATTTCCTGCTACCCTATACTTTTGACTTCACTACATTATAAAGGAAAATATGATCCTTTTTACTGCACTACATTTATTAACTCTGGCCAATAGTTGTCCTTCAGAATCAAATTAACCATACAGAATACAGGGTCATTTTAGGACTTTATTTATCCCTAGTGAGAAATTCACTAGCTACCCAGTAGCTTTACCAGCTGCAACATTAAAATGATGAACACAATAATGTATCATTAATTATAATCCAGAAATGTGCCACTCTGCATAGTGAATAATCTTTCCTTTGGAACTTTAACTATATTTTGATGCCAATACTTTTGTACTTTTACTTAATTAACATTTTGAATACAGGCCTTTTCCTTGTAACATAGTATGTTTAGTGTTGTACTTGGTACTTTTAACTATATGAGTGTTTGATGATATTATATAAGATGGTACTTACAGTCTTTCTAGCAGTCTGAGGTCTTGGAAGGCTCCTCTCTCAATAACGCTGATTTGGTTGTCCTCCAGGTGACTACAGTGACGGGAATAAGGAGAAAATAAGTAGAAAAGAAAAGGAATACCAGCAAAAATACATTATGGCACTTAAGAGAACGGCAGGCAACACTAGGGAGAAATAACAGTGGCAAATGAGGCGATAACAATTATCAGTAATTTTACACAGTTGCAGTTAGTTATTTCTTCAAACTGAAACTAATGGACAACAATGTAGTTAAAATATCTATCCACAGCCAATTTTCCCTGCAGTTTCAAACAAGGAGAAGAAACACCAGATAAATCAAATTTTCTGGCCAGTGCAAACAGCAACATCTGCAGCTTCCCACAGAGAAAAAGAGGGATTTCAAACATCAAGACAGACATTAGCATTTTAAAAATTTGGAGGTCTAAACAAGCAATCAGTGAGCTGAACAAAATTAATCTGGGACGAAGCAAAAGTTGAAAAGGTTTAAATACATGCAGCATTTCACAAATGTCACAATCAAGTGAGCCAAAACAAACAATTAATAACCCATCCCTCTCGTCTCTCACAGCAGATAACTTCTCCACCTCTCTGTCTTTCCAGTGGTGCTCCCAGTGCAACACACACTGTACAGTATTTCTCTTTTTCCCTCTGCTCGCTGTGGGTTCTGATGTTTTCTGGGCAATCTAAGGTTTTCCAGATGAGACAGGGAAAAGGAGAGAGAACATCTCTGCAGATATGTTGTTTATATTTTCTGTCTGAGGATGTTAAGAGTGACATCTCCTGAGAGGGAGGAGGGGAAGGGAAAGTCAATGGAAGAAAATGCCTGTGAGAGGAGGAGGAGGAAGACTGAAGAATTTAAATAAAAGGGGAAAAAGAAAGGAGGAGGCATAAAAGAGGAAACAGAGATACAAAAACAGAGACTGAATATGGCGAGATGCACTGAGTGAGAGACATAAAACAGAAAGACAGAGCCAAAGACTAAAGAAGCAGAGATACAGTCTGGCCTGCCATGAAAACTTTGATCTGTTTTGGCACAATCTTGATTGAAATATTATTTCACAGAAATGTTTAGACATGCATGCTGTATTACAGCAATGTACCCACAGTCTGTCGTACTGACTCTTTACACAAACACACACACACAGAAAATCTGTTGGACAAAAACATGCACGTCTGAAAGATTACAGACTCAAACACACACATACTGCACACAAACAATCACCAACCCCATGTGAAGAGCATAAGCGAATAGACATGCACTCCTGATTTCCTGACGGGGCTCTCTTTTGTCCCAAAAATTTAAAAAGGGTATTTGCCCATGTTTATTTTGGAAAAAAAGGGGGAAAGCAGTGAAAAAATATCGATACAAAAATCTGGATAAAATGTAATTTACAAAATGTCATGTGCAACACAACTGCATACTATAACCACCTCTTGTTTATCTTCCTGATTACTTCAAGAGACTCTGATGCACAATGAGAAGCTAATTTGAATATTCTTTGCATTTTTCTCTCAAGAATTCCTATTTCAAGAAGCTGGAAAACTTACAATTTGAGTGCATAATTCAAAGAGAAACTTACAATAATTGCATAGTTTTTTTCAAAAAATTAGCAAAAAGCTAAATTTGGTTAGAAATGTGCAGAAATGATTGAAGTTTAATGACAGTTGGTGCAAAAAGGACAAACACACAGTGACAGGCACAAATGCATACTGTAGGATGCGTAGACACACACACCCAGCACTGATAAGTAATGTTAAATATGTGTGTAAACAATCATAAGCATAGGTACACAGTTCTGCACTGGTAGCAAGCAGCACACATGTAAACATACACGGTGCTCACTCCAGACTGTCAGTCACAATTTAAGTCCAGTCAACATTAATCCAACATGTTTATTCTAGTCGGGCTGTGTTTTCTCCATCTCCTCTTCTTCTTTGGAGAAAGAGAAATCAAGCTTTAACTGCAAGTAACTATCACAGTTTATTTATCCAAATGAGCAACTAACCACATGGCGATTTACTGAATGAATCTTAGAAAGGCCAGGGATCTTAAGCCAAACACATGGTGTGTGGAGTCGATGCTGGCACATTGTTCGGATGAGGTATTGTTTTGATATTGGTCTGTATCAGGCATTAGTCATCAACAGAGAAATGAGAGAAGAGAGGACGTACTGATTTCATGTGTGTGGAGCCTGGTGTGTCTAACAACTCTCGTTCAACCATATCAGAAAGTCTTACCAACTATTATAAAATGAACAGTGATGTCATGCTACCTTATGCCTAACTCAGAGCACTTGGTATCCCAAGGAAACAAGGAAATCCTTCAGAGGATATTGACTTCACTTGCTGTTTACACACAACGGGTGAAATCACATTAACTTTCTCAAGTAAAATATTCAATATCAAGCAAAGGTTTTCAACTACAGCTAAATTTGTTTGGAATTATTCAATTTTGTCACAATCTGGAAGAAATCTTGCTAAGTCTGGCTGCCAAAGACATCACGCTAAATGTTGTGCATGCAGAGACAAGCTGCGTCTGTTTATTACAACAAGACAGACCGACTGCTAAGATTAAAGAATATTCAGGCAGCTGGATTAGATGGTGTGTTTTTGTGTGAATAAATGTTTATTCAGATTACAACAGTCAGTCTGATTAAGGTGCTCTGAATTCTAAAAATTAAAAATACCAATATATTAGTATTAATTATAGGTTAAGTTGAGGCAAACTGATGTGTCACCGTGCGTTGATGCATCCGTTACAGGATACATCGACAAGCATCTAAACAACATTTGCTCTCCGGACAGAAACATCCCAGTCACTGTACCATCGTCTTCTGTCTGTTTTGTCGGTTAGGTTCTTTTAGGCCTCTGTGCCAGCAATAGTCATGCCCAGAGGCATTATGGTCTCAGGTTCCCCGTACGTTTGTATGATTTTTGAACCTAACATCTCAGGAACACCTTGAGGGAATATTTCTCAAATTTGGCACAAGTGTCCAGTTGGACTCACGGGTGAACTGATTAGAATTTGGTGGTCAAGGTCACTGTGATCTTGTGAATGCAATATCCCAGTAACATTTTAAGGGAAGCTGACACATATACAAATGTAACACCTGCCCAACATGAACTGACTTTGGTGGTCAATTTGACCGGTTGGTGGAGGCATGCAGCCATGAAGCACTAATTCTAGTTTGTGGTTGTTTTTTTTTTGTTTGTTTTTTTTTTGTAGTCTTTGGAGTCACTAATTAAAATGGATGAAGAAAACTTCATTGTTAAGACTGAAAAATACCTGAAGAGATTTAGAGTGAAGCACATGAACCAAGCTGCTGGTCACTGCAGAAACACACATGCAGAACACACACAGCCTTAATCCTCTGCACCATGTCTCAAGTACACAAATAAAAGGTCTCTCTCTCTGTCTCTCTCCTTCACACACAGAATAAACTATAAAGATTAACTGACACACAATGGTACTTTTAAAAAGGTATGGTTATAATTAAATAAGTGCAAACACACACATCCATTGCCTTATTTCCACTTCTCAGTGTTGTTTGTAATGAGAGTGTATTTTTATCCGCTGGTCTAGTTAAAACAGATTAAGGAGAAAAGCTGCTTACAGCCAGCAGTGATTATAGTTATTACAGCCCTCATAAATACACACACACATACATAAAAATGTGAGCTGCTTGATGCAGCCAAGGTAGAGTCTTTGGAGTCAATTAGGACAGCGGAGAAGAGATGAGGAGTCACACTCCTTTAGATATGACAAGCAATACAAGCACGAGTAAAATGAGTAATGACTTCAGCATGTCATTTGATTCTTTTCCTTTTTTTAATGAGAATAAAGGCAAACACTACAAAATTTTATTATTATTGTTATCTTTTAGTCTCCAGTCAGTAAATTGCCTTTGGAAGTAATTTTACCTCAACTATTTTAGCCCCCAAAACCAAAACTGTTTTGGAACAGATAGTGTATAACTGAAATCACCAGCTACGATGCGTCACGTTGGATCAGGCTGGCCACACATCATGCAAGAGGGGATCTTACAGGGAACAAAAATCCTAATATCACTGAATGTCCCAATATTGCAAAATTTCAGCACTGCTGTAGTGTAATTTACTGAAGTACATGTTCGTAACTGCTGAATCACTGCCCAACTGTCTTTTGTAATAACTCATAGGGGTCACTGTTGTCATTTGACTGTGCAGAGACGTAATGTCTCAGTGTCAGAAGACAGACCTGTTGCAAGCTGTTCTTACTGGAACTTGTTATTCAGAGAAGCTATGACCTTGTGTTTGGTACTATATAAGAAATGGGCAGAATAAGGAGTAGTTAATTAGATTTTAGATTTCTTCTAGAGTCTAGTTCAAGAAGTTTAGTAGCTGCGTATCAATATCTCCACATCAGTTTAACAATGAGATACTGTGTTGTTTGTTTAGCAAATGGATGAATTGCTGTTTGTTGCTTGCATCTCAGCCCACTAATCTATTATTTAACCCTGTAAATATTCAGTAATTACAAACCTCAAATCCTTGGATAAGACATCTGCATTCTCCTCTGCCCTGAAAATCCTCATTAGGATGGGAAACTTTATTTTATCAAGTTTTGTTTCCCCTTCAGCCTTGTTAGGTAAATAGAGGAGTAATTGCTCCAACATGGTGGCTTTTTTTGTTAATGGGATTTCTTGTAAAAAAACAAATACAAGTCACAATAAAAAAAAAATGTAATCCAACCAACTTCATACCTGTTTGTTGCTGCCTTCTAAATGGCAGATACAACTCAAAAACAGATAAAAGCTTTTGCTCTGTGGCTATGTTTTAGTCAGGTTTGGGTGACTAAAACTTGGTAAAGCTGGGAAAAGATAACTAATGTTGATTGTTAGTAGGAGATGTGACACATATTACCATCATAAGTATCCTTCACACATGGTGAACACCCCAACATTTATGCCACATGACTTTCTCCAGCAATATAACAATGTCATTTGACTTCTGCATTTAGAGAAGATGTGGCTTGTCACAAAGACAGAAAAAGGAAATGTAAATATTTAAACCAACACAAAGGTTTTGATAAGAATAGTGTTTGATTCAGCTGCTGTCTGAAATGTTCAATTAGCAGCTGACCAAGTGCTGGTTAGCACTGCAAAACGTGATGGAAAAAGATTATAAAAAATGGTTTCAGTTGCTTAAGATTACCTGCTTTCTTTATGTCAGCACAGTTGTTTACAGCCATTTGAAGCCATCAAACATTTTGCAGAAACATTTACCTGCAGCTAATCTTCAGTTATTACATGAGTGTTCAAAGGTGACACAGACTAGACAGTAACCCTATTTGCAGAGGTTTTGTGAAGCACCCTGTTGTCATTTTTGTACTTATACAGCACATACAAGTGACTTTAAAAATTTGCCGTTCCCCAATTTTCACCTGCATTGCACAGAAAACCATTTAGGATAAGAATAAAAGTGGTTTTGCTGAAAGACCTCCATACGCAATAAGATTTGAACTTGCTGAACAACCTGGTTTGACAATCCTTGAGTAGTTTCAGTAGCAGTGAAAGGATTATCACCACAAACTGTTGAAGGAAAAAAAACTAACTTACAGAATCCTGAGGTTCTTGAGCCCAGAAAAGTCCACTTTAGTGATTCTGGTGATGTTGTTTTTGTTCAAATCCCTACAAAGAGAAACACAGGGGTTAAAAAAAATATGACAAATCTTAAAAACGACACTTTAAACAACAGCAGGTTGGCCAAGGGGCTATAGATTAAAAAAAAAACACACACACACAACATAAAATTAAAAATAAAGGAAAGAAAATGAAAAATAAACAATCAGTACAATCACAGAGACAGAATGAGTAAACTACACTAGGAAACATAAGCCAGAGAAAATAAATAGGTGAAGTGAAGATTTAAACTGAGACAGATCTAAGATTAAGGAGTAGGATGTTCCAAAGTCTAGCACCCACAGCTGAAAAGGTGCAATCTCCCACTCGACAGTGTTTAGCCCGGGGAATATCGAACAAAAAAACTGTTCAGCCTATGCCACTGCACAAGATCAGAAAAGTATTCTGGGGACATACCATTTAAAGCTTTGAAAGTAAATAATAGCAGCTTAAACGGAATCCTAAAATGAACAGGTAGCCAATAAAAAGAGGAGAGAACAACAGTTACAGTATATATGATCAAATTTGTGAGTGTCGGCAGCAGCATTTTTCATCATTTTAAGCTTCATAAGTGAAGGTCTATTGATCCTGAAAAACAAAGCATTGCAACAATCTAGTCTGGAAATGATTAAAAGCATAGATAGCAACCTCCAAATCATTGAAAGAAAAGAAAGGTTTCACTTTGCTAAGCAACATCAGCTGTGAAAAAAAAGTATTATTTTTGCTTTTTGAACTTCAACTCGTTATCGAATAGAACACCTAGATTTTCTATAATAGTTTTTGAATAAAATACAAAAGGACCAAGGTCGCAGGGGGGTAAAGAATAAGCATTACCAAATAAAACGCACTCTAGTTTAAATGTAAGAAATTGCATGATAACCAGGATTTTATGTCGACCAGACAATCTAATAATTGTTTTCAGTGGTAGGTAGATTTCGATGTCATCTGCATAGAAGTGAAAGGGAAAAAAATCTATTGATAATATAAATGTAATATAACACAGTGTATCTTGAAATCAAACAGCTTCATTATTAAGCTAAAAAGCAAAGGAACATGAGTGAGCACCCGCTGACTGCATATGTGTGTCTGCATTGGTTTCTCTGTGTCTTCTCGCTCAGTCAAATTAGAGAACGTGGCAGACGAACAAAGGGTGAGAATGCCCTGAAACCTGTGAGAACACATGCACACAAGCAAACAAACAAACACAAACAAAAATCAATACATACAAACACTATTACTGTATAGGCCCCAAGAGATTGATGCTCCTATGCTCACACACACAGGGCTCCTGCTGCTGTGACTTAGTGAGAAGCTAATTTTCCAGTGCATTCAAACCTTCCCACATAGATAGATTTGATTTCCCAGCCTGGACCCAACACAGGAACACATTCACACAGCATAGACATTAAATATTCATTTCCCTATCCCAGACCCTAATTCATAACTTTAACACACACAGATCAGAACAGCAGCATCAAAGAGGCAGTCTTCCAGCAAAAAAAAAAAAAAAAAACTTGGAATGAAATTTTTCATCTTTCCATCATCAGAGTTTAAAAGCTTATCATCTTTCCTGGCTGTCATTCAATCCGTTTTAACTACGGGTACACAATGTATACATACTGCCATATGAACTGACTGCCTGAGTGCGTGTGCGTAGACTGGTTCCCTTTGTACGGGTGCGCTGTTTATTGAAACGCTGTCGCACTGCAGGAATTAGGGCAAGGAAAAACACACACATACAAGAGAACACCGGCAAACAAAGCACACAAATTTCTCTCTTATTTCACACACATAACTCATAGACACACAAACTCACATAAACTACACATAAACTGAGTCTGGTTTTGTCAAGCCAGCCTGCATGTGTGTTTTTCATAATACACCTAAACATTTATAAATCTGATTTAAGACCATATTAAATTTCAAAAGGCTTCTCCAAGCTGCCATGGCAAGGACCACTAATAAGAGCCATACCCTGGCTTGAGACTGGGAGGGCTGGTGTGGGAGAGGGCAGTGCTTCCCAAAGCTTAAAATGTGGTTCAGGCCAGGGTCCACCTGGGGAGCTTGAAAGGGCTCCAGGATAATGAATAGTTCCAATATCTCAAGTGATACAATGAAAGGTCACATGAAATGACTGCACTGATCAAAGAATCCAACTCAGTGCAGAACAAACAGAGATTTAAATCATAAGCAGCTACAAATGAGCTCTCCGAATGAGGTCTAAGTAAGGTTTCTATTGAAAGAAGATGAAGACAAGAGAAGAGAAGAGACAAAACAAGAGCCTCTTGCAAGTTATAGAGTGGTGTAGTACTGAACCTTAAAGCTGTGCTAATCAATCAAACGATTATAGACCTAGACCTAGGTTTATTCTCAAGCCTGTTTGGAGGCTCTAGCAGAGGAGAGCAGCTACTGGTATACCGATGGATGGCTGTCCACCGGGGGACTTCATCCTCTTCCACTGAGGAAGGGGACACCATCAACATAATGGAGCATTTAGATCCTAAGGCGTCTGATAGATAAACTCTCCTTATCAAATGGTCCTAATATTTGGAAGCAGCAATAACATGAAAACTACAAAAGAGCAAAAGAGAAATTTGTGATGATTAGGTGTCTCATCCATCTTGCCAGCACATTCAAGAAACCAGATATGTTTTTCCACAGTGAGCCACTTTGCCATCTTCCACACTTGACTAGACTGCCGGTTCGTTTCACAGCCTTTTCACTGTGTGTGTGTAATTACCTGTGCCTTGGAAAGCGAGGCACCTTGATAAGCCTTCTAAAAGTCAATACAGCATTGATTTATCATTTTCTACTTGAGGAAGGAGCTGCAATAGAAGATTTTTCGCTCGTTGATTTGTAATTTCAAGCATCCACACTCACTTTTGAGTGATTCTGAGGCACCACTAAAAAACTTCTGTTCTTCATCACTCCACGTCTTTCCATCCTCCCCCTCTGTGTCTCCTTATTGTTTCAGATTTGGCTGCAGCCTTTCAGTTTTTCTTTTTCCCCTCCCACCTTCTCTTCATCTACATTACATCTCTCCTTTCTTCAGCCACCGCTCTTTAATGCCAACCTGTCAGTCTATCACAGCCAGCTTCAGCCATGTTCCCAGCCTTCCTCTCGACTTTTTTCTCTTTAATCTCGCCTTTTTTACAGTCTCCCCCTCTCAATCTCCCATGTCTTATCATTCACTGTTTCACAGTTGACTAAACACTTTCTTCACCTTCTTCTGTTTTTCTCTTCCCCCCTAATCTCTCTTCTTTTATCTCAATCTTTCACTCCTGAGCAGTTGGCTACATTTTTACTACCCTTCTCTTTTCCTTTGCCTTCTTCTCTAATCTCTCCATCCTTATCTCCATCTTTCTCTTGTTTGCAGTGGAAACTTCTGCTCTCACCAGGGAAACTGCTCTAAAGCCAAACAAACAGTGAGGATACAGGGCCAGGTGGGCTGATGGGGTCACCTGATCTCACATCGGCATCTAAAAACTAAGGAAGTCAAGGCCGCTGTCAGAGCGAACAATATGTGTTGTGAAATTAAAGGGCAGAAATGTCAAATGAATACTACACCAATTAACAGTGATGTATTTGGAAATAAAAGGGTGTAAAGTATGACTTTTCACTATTAGTCACAAGGGAGGCAACCAGTAATGTATCTCATATTATCAAATAAACATGAATTCACTATTTGCCCTCTCAGACAACTTTCAGAGGCGGCAAATGGTTATTCAGTTAGATCTGGCAGATTGTGAGAACTAATCCCACCTACCTACTGTAATAATGAAGCAAAACGTCAGCACTCTGCCTGAACTAGTGGTATTCACTGTACAATTAGCCTTAGTAAAGAAAGATAAAATTCTCTAAATAAAATGTACAAACAGTACTTTCACAGGAGTTGGCACCTTCACCTTTGTCACCTTAAACGCAGTGAGAGTGTTGAACATTGAGAAGAGGGCTCAGATAAACTCATACAATCATGTGTTTGAAAAAAGCCCTGAAAGCAGACGGCTACAGCAATTTTGCTAAAGAGAAGTGTTTTGCACTGAACCTAAAGTGATTAAAAACTCACAGCCAAGAAAAAGGACTCACTCGATTAGCTGGAAAAAGCTTGACTATGCAAAATTAACATAAAGCATAGTGAGGCGGCCATTTTTATACACCTGGTGTGTTAGCTTGAGTGTTCACCCCTCAAACTTATATTTAGATTTAAGTGACCAGCTGACAAATAACAAGAAGCTTTAATACAAAAGCCCCAACACTCACTGCGTTTATGTGCACTTAAGTGAATAGGTTACAATTGGTTTTCTCAAATAAGCCGATTTCTTAACTGTCATGTAAATGGGAAACCTGGCTTCTATAATCGGGGTAGAGGACTAAGGAAACCTGATTTCCCCAGGTAGATTTCTCCCGGAGAACATCGATTTCTCTGCCACGTATATGTGTAACCAGGTTTCTAATCAGTTTTCTTCAAGAGCACATGTGCAAAAGACAAGTTCACAGGTCACTTGTGTTCATGTGAGTGGAGAAAAACAGGATGTTGTCACCGGCATAAACAGACTATCATCAACATGACGAGCAGCAGCAACAGCTTCGAGTTTCCATTATTAATTTCACGACTAGTGGGGCAGCTAATGTCATGATTTGCAGACGAAACATCACTAGGTCCATCTTTGTTTATGGGAGGATGCAGTTGCATAGTTACGTCAGGATTTCCCAAACGACACCTTTCCACTTTCAGTGGGCTAGCAGGGGTAAATCAAATTACTTAGGAACTCATGTACACTGGGGTTTTTGAGTAACCTGATTACTGCTGTGCATGTAAACATGTTTTCATGATTTCTGCCATAACCTCTCAATAACCTGGTTACTTAAGTGCATGTAAATGCAGTAGCTGTTTGTCACCATTACAGGCAGAAGTAAGGTGTGCATGTGTGTTTGTGACAAGGGGATAGGACAAGAACGCAAACAGCAGGTGTTCGGGGAATTAATACTGTATACCATAAAACACAAGG